CGGGGACTGGCTGGGCATTGGTCGGCGGGTGGTGAGCAATTGTACTGTGCATCACTTGCTTTGTGTGTTGTTATTATTATTATCATATTATTATTATTATCATTTTATTTCAATTATTAAACTGTTTTTATCTCAACCCACGACTTTTTCTAACTTGTGCTCTTCCAATTCTCTCCCCCATCCCACCGGGTGGGGGGGGAGTGAGCGAGCGGCTGCGTGGTGCTCAGTTGCCAACTGAGATTAAACCACGACAAGGGTTCAGTGCCAGCAGCTGGAGCGAGACTGTGGGTCCCCGGCCTGTATTGCTGGTGCCAGCTGCTGGGGTAGGGACAGGCAAAACTTTGCATCTTCCCTAAACCTGCTATGCACGTGTAAAATTCAATAGCAGACTTAAAACTGAACTAGCCATTGAGTAGTAGGCCCTGGATCCAGGCCTGAGTATGAGGCAGGCAGAGGGTATATGCTGGTATTCAGGGGGACCCACAAACGTAGAGTGCCCTTAAGATGAGCGCATGAGTGTGTGCACCCGTTTGCTGGCAAGCATCAAGCTGGACTAGCTGGCAAGTAGAAGAGCAGTGAAACAGTTAAGAGGGCCCAGCATTCAGGCAGGGGGATCACAGACAGAAGGACCATGCCGATAGCTGAGGGATCCATGAATGTGCCTGTGCTTGTGAATCTAGAGAGAAGGCAGTGTGTGCTTTCACTACTGAACTTCAATCTTAATTAGCTGACAAGGAGGAAGGGGGCCTGGCTGTCTAAACTTATATTTTACAGGAGTCCTACAAGTGCTGTTGAAGACAGGGCCTTTACAGCAGTTTGTGTAGCTGGCCACGTCAGGGTCCTCTGTGTGTCTGTGTGATACATGCTTCTGAACCTGCAAACAAGAAAGAAGCAGCAGCTGCATCCATCAGTCTGGGATGGAGACCTGCAGGCCCCCAGGCACACGGGGCTGGGCTTTAGCACCTGAGCAACAGGAATTCCCAATCCCAGGGCTCCTGGAGGATGAGGCATTATAAGTGGCTGTATAACAGGTACAAAACAAATCCTGGCTTAAAACAGCTGCACACTTGAACATGTGCCATCCTTCAATCACAGGCAGTTCCACCGATTTGAAGTGAGGCTATCCCCTTGCATACGACATGCACATTAACTACCAAAAGACTGGTGCTTCTGTCTCACTATCCCAGAAGAGCACAGCCAAGCATCTCCAACAAGCTATTCAGCCCATGAGGTTCACCTGCTGTCTACCATTGTGCTGCTGCCCACTATTCTCTTCCAGAACGAAACAAAGGCTAGTAGAGAAAATGTGCTTATGTTGTATGTTGGGTTTTAAGTTTGCAGCAGACTCGGGATCTTTTGTTGGTCTGGTGACAATTGTTCACAATTTGTCAAACTTTGGAGTTTAAATAAAAACAACAAACACCCCGCACACACACGTCCCACCCCTGCCCAGGAGTTTACAAATAGGTTCTAGTTTCTAATGCCATTGATTAAACCATTAACCCTCGCCTGGTACTATGTATACATGCACCGCGTAGGAAACAGGACATGATGCTTTTCTTGTAGAATGAGAAAACACCAAACACTTCTCTCCAGTTATTTCTGAAAGCACGATAGCACAGAAGCTAGAAAAAGAAGAATCCTCTTTTCATGTTCATTTTGACATATTCCTTAAAGCCAAGAGATGGTGCATTAAACTGGAAGCTAATCAACCTCAGTTCTTACAGTGGCTTTAATTTTCCATGTACGTCTTTATAAGTTTTCATTTCTTAGTGTGAGAATCAAGCATGATGTTCTCCATAACAGATGGGCTTGCTGAGGATCAGAGAAAGGTGGCTCAAATCAGGCAATTCTTCACATAGAAGAATGCAGTATAGCATAAGACAGGCAAGCAATTTAACAGAGTTGAGAGCTTAGCCTATTTTGGGCAAGATAATCATCTTCCATTGAATTCTGTATCACTGCTACAGATTGCTCCAACACCCCAACTAGCTGGGTCACAACAAATGAGCAATTTCAATACTGCACTGATCTGTGTGTGCTATACGAGCTCCTAGAAAGAATGTTTACGGCAATGCCAGGAATAGGTCCTAGGTTTGGACTTTGACTTGCCAACGATAGATGTCTACTTCTAAGCTGCTCATTCTAGACTCCTTGGAATAGATTATGGAGAGAAATACTCATTTCTAAGAAATGATGAGTTTCATCTTGAGGTAGTTATCTGGATAGGTAAGTAAAATCAGTCGAAAAAATACTCACTTCTTTTTGCTAAACATAAGCAGAGCCCATGATGACTATATCAGAGGTACAGATCTACTTTATTGCCATTTTAAGTTCAGCAAGATGAATTCCATGCAATCAACCTTTCATGTGGCTGACAAATTTAACAGTTGAAAGTTAAGAAGTTCCTCAGCTCTCTTCCAGGAAGATATTTTAATAGCTGCCAAGCTGAGGGTATAATTTTTCAGAAGTATGAATGCATTGGAAATGTTTAACGATTTAAGAAGTTTCCACTGAATAAATATATGGAAATAAATATATGGAAATAAGGTACCCTGTTAGTAGCAGAAAAAATTATTCTTATATAATATTGAAAGTTAAGAAGTTCCTCAGCTCTCTTCCAGGAAGATATTTTAATAGCTGCCAAGCTGAGGGTATAATTTTTCAGAAGTATGAATGCATTGGAAATGTTTAACGATTTAAGAAGTTTCCACTGAATAAATATATGGAAATAAATATATGGAAATAAGGTACCCTGTTAGTAGCAGAAAAAATTATTCTTTTATAATATTGGGAAAAAAACCCTACTGAAAATTATTGCTTCTAGGGTAAAAGTAAGTGACAAAGATTCAGACAAGATAGCGTTGGAGAGCCCATTATTCACAGTTCTTGGCATGATAAAAGAAAAAAAGTTGTAAATGGAAAGTAAACAACACTGGCTGAAATCACACTTTAATCACCATCTGTACACATGCAAAGCCATTCTCGCATACCTTATTGTCAGTCCTGACCGTAACTTTCAGCTGTGGAAGCACACGTTCCACTTCCAGATTCCACTCTGCTGCATCTGTTGTGGACTGTAAAATCTCTTCTTGCTTTGCAGAGTCATTCATGTCCTGTGTAAAAATCACAAAGTTTATATACAAAATGTCATCATTATGCACAGTGAGAACTGTTAGAAATCATTACAATGGCTTACAGTGTTCATAGTCAGAAAAAAAATTATATCCAGAATGATCTAGACTACAGATAAAACAGATTTCTTTAATGGCTTTCTTTGAATTCATAAAGACTAGGAATTAAAATAAACATATCTTCTCATCATTATTTAGAATTGAAAAGAATAAAACGTATATAATAAGAAATTATAATACATTCCTGAAATAGCAAGGAGGGGGAAATTAAAATATATTCAAGAAACTCATACCATGTTTCCCTAAAAGTCTGCAAAAATTTCTTGCAAATGTTTCCAGCAACCTTGCAGTGATAACAGTTTAGAAACTGGATGTACATTTTTCTTTTAAAATAAGCTGATTTATTTCGGTTGGAATGTTTTTTCAAGTTTAGACTATATAAGGACTTTCACACTTAAATCCAACAGAAATGAATTGCTGCTACAGATGTAAAAATCTCTCAAGAGAGGACTGATGGATAACAACTTACCGATCCGTATGTTTGTGCCTTTAGAACATTCAGGTCAATAAAATTTTCTTCATTGTCTGACTCTTCTTCCTTAAGGAAAGTTGCAAAGTAAGACTTCAGTAAGTATTGCACAATCTTTCTCCATAATTTCATTTTGCAGGAGCACAGGACAAGGAGTATTAAATTCCAAATTTCCAACATGGAGAGTTTATGATAATGGAGCTTGTATTTACTTAAAAATCTTACAAGGAGACACAGTATCTGGAACAAGTTGTAAGATGAAAGCTACCCCACATTTCTCTCAGGGTGCCACAGTATTTAAAAACTAAACCAACCAACCAAAACCAAACCCAAAACCTAAGCCCTCTCACATCAAATGGGCCATTATAAATAGTTGTATGGGAACTGTAATTTCTTATGTGTTTCCTAAAGCTTTGCCTTAAAAATAAAACCAAAACAAAACAAAAACCAAACCACAACCAGACCTGAACAACGTTTTCAAGATGTTGTCTGCACCACAGATGGGGAGCTGCAGAATGATGCCACATTTTAAAAGAGTGCAGAATGATACAACTCAAATTGAGGCAATCGATTTGTTTTCTTGTCCATGACACTACGCACTGGGCTGACGGTTTTATGGAATTATCTATTATAGTCTCAAAATTGCATTCCTCAGTGATCACGATCAGCTCAGAGCCCATCACTGCATAAGTCAAAGATGCTTTTGCCGTGCGTTACCCTCCATTTATCTATACTGAATTTCACCTGCCATTTTATCACCCATACACTTCACCCTTATACACCTTGTCCTTCTGTAGCTCTTCTGTTAGCCATCGTCTTTTCCACCAAAGTCAAATTTCATCATTCACCGCCTTTCTAGACAAATCATGAATGCTGCAATAACACAGGTCTTAGTGTAGAACCCTTCAAGACTCCGTGAAAACCTGGGAGCTTATTCCTGTACCTTACCTAATTTTTAACTAACAGGGACCACTTTATTTTCTTCCGGCATGTTTGGCCCCCAGTCCCCTGAATACTTGCAAGAAATTAATGGTGACTAGATTGGGACTATCTTTTGCTAAATGGACAATATATATTTGTACAGCACTTAGAAGAACATATTACAACACTACTGTGACAACAAGACAACTAGTTATCAGAACTGAGGAACCAAACTGTGCAGATTTCCCTGCACAGCCAGCCTCGCTGGCTACTGTTCACCTAATTCCCCAAGATTTACAGGACTAGGCTTGTCTCTGTCAGCCTCATCAATTTTATTCAGAAGAATCAAAACCAGAAGAACAATCAGTGAACCTCATCATTAGCATTTAACTACTGGAAATACTGCTAAATTTAATTATGGATACAGCTAATACATCCAGGACATATCGACATATTAGCAGCAACGATGGACTAGGGGAAAAAAAAAATTACATCAGCATATAATTAATCTATGTAGAACCATTAGGGGCTCTAAAAAAGTGGTTATCCACTTGGTATAAACCTAGCTCAATGGTTTTATTAACACACAAACTCAGAATAGCTAATAAAACATGTTAGGTGTGAAAATCATGGCCTCAGATACTACCCGACAGCAAATCCAGAGGTTCTTTGAAGGGTTTCAACTGTGCCTTAGTTGACTGTTTCCTCCCCACTTCCCAATTTAACAGCTTAGACCTTAACGAGACACAGAAAAGAGCAGACAGCTGACTGTTTTCATATTTAAAGCTTTTAGCCAACAGCTTGCATTTCTGAGGCTGGTCAAACATGCAATACAGAATGTCTCTTATTGTTCTCAGAATTATTCAAGACTTCTTCTGTGGAGACTTCAAAGCTGGTAAAAATGCAACCAGACACCCACATCACAGTATTTGCATATTGTATGATATTTAAGAATAAAAGTTTGGATTTTTTCTTGGCTAATAAAAATGAGGAAAATAATGCAATACTTCGGAAAACTGTGAGAAGAGGAAGAAGAGAAGGGAACTCTTCAACTGTTACATTCTTGTGGACTATTGTGGCATATAAATTGGGACTATGATCAGAACCATACGATAACATTACTGGCACTCTATTTCCAACTTTTATGACCTTTAATTTTTCCGAAGCACTTGAAAAATCTGAACACAAAAATGGAACAGTTGTGGCATTTTCTATCCAGTATTGCTGGGCCTTAACACTCCAGAAAATTGTTTTCTCCTCAAGTAATTTACTGGCCCAGCAAGTGAACACTTCCAGGCTCACAGCTTTCGATATTTTGGGTTTGATCTACATTTATTTTGCACAGAATCATCAGCTTTTGGAAAAATCGGATGTGAAACTAACTTCTTTTTGTAATTTTCACTTTAATTGTCTTCAGCTAACTTCTGTCTGCAGAAAAATCGTGTTTAAGTCAGCAGTACAAAGACTCACTTCGAGGAGACTGACAGAGGCCTGTGAAAATGACAATGTCTTGTGATAACATTATGCTACCAGATAACAGTGAGACTTCAACTCTCAAAAATAATCTTCTGAGAAAGTCAATCAGCAAGAAACAACTTCTGTTCAACATCCATCCATCAGTAAGTCGTAAAAGCATATTTGAACTTACAGTTGTATTTCATAGGCTGTTTCATAGACGTGACAACTTCACTGTAATTATTATAGTTAAAAAGCAGGAATAAATAAAACAGTTCATCCTCAAACATTGCCATCTTGTTGGTAAAAGGTATTTCAAAGCAGACTTATTCTGCAGTCAGAACGGATGATTGGATATTACCATTTCATTGCTGGAATATATAGCGATGAGCTGCCTTGGCCTTTCTCTACAGAAACAATTCTGCAAACTTTATTTAGGTCATTGCTGGTGTTTTTAAACAAATGCTCGGTTTCCAGTTGTTCTTTTCTGTCTGCCCTGTTCCCAAATCTTAAGATCAACTAAGTACCAAAGTTACTGTTTCCTAATTGCAGCAAAATCTGAGTTACAATAGTGTGTGCTCTATTAATTAAGCGCTGGGCAAATTTTAACCAAATATTACACAATTCTGTAAACAGGGATTGAAGTTTCGTTTGACATCAACAGCTTGTATCAGCAGAAAACAAACAATTCTGAATCTATGCAATTTTAACGTATGGTTAGATTCCACTTCACTTTACATTAACTGTAAATGCACACAAGAACATAAGCTCTGTCCCAAAGAGTTAACAACCTTATCTGAAAGGAAACAACAAACTCTACGGAGAAGCTGGAGATGCAGGAAAGGAGATGCAGGAAAAAAGGGCGATGGAACAGCTAGTAGAAAACATTTCTTAAACAAAGCCAAACAAAATGAACAATGAGAAAAATTTCCTCATAGCTGACCAATACTGATATAATCAAAAACAGTTAGGTAAACCTACCACAACATCCTCTTCCAGTTTATTAAGTGTTAATTCTGCATCATCTTCTGTTATTTCTTCTTCTTCTAGCTCTTCTGTTGGATATGTTGGCCTGAAATCAGTTCAAAGAACAGCAGAGCTTTTAAACACAGTAAATTGGAAATACCTCTATAAATTACTCCTAAGCAAACAAAACATTTCATGAGAAGTATGGATGATGTGGAACACGACTAGACAGTGTCTCACACACTTAAACAAATAAAATTAAAGCTCAGCCTTAAAAGTCTTTGTTTATCTTGGACTGTCTTAAAAGTGAGGGTTAGTTATTATGCCAAGCAGTACAGTACATTCATACTGCAAAGACATCTGGGGAGTAAATTCTGAGTTGTTTTCTCTTTCGGTCTAACCTCTTAAAATTTAAGTGCAGGTCACCACAGACTCATTTTTGGCTTACAGTGGAATTTGTGTATTAAATAGAGGTAACAGTAAAATATTTCCAAGGTAGAAATTACTACGTTATATCCATTTCAAAACCCATCAGAGAAAAGGAATTAAATAAAGAGCACTTTTAAACAAATTTTTATATACTTGAAATTATCTGTCATCTAATTTCTCCTAAGATTTCCTTCATATTAAATATTCAAAGTTACTGTAGCCTTCTTGTAACATGATCACATCCTGTGCATACCTCCAACTGAAGAGGTCAAGATTGATTGATAGGACCCAAAAGAATATGAGTACGTTTCAACTCAACTGTCAGATTAACAAGCAGTTGTGCATAGGAAAATGACCAAAAAAAGGTCATCAGTCAAATCTTTATTAATTAGCTACGTCTATTGATGGCCCAAACTCATCCTTGCTGGTAATAGACTAAATTGTGTGAAATTGCATTAGGAATTGATTTGTCCCACTGCTTCAAGCCTAGTTGAATTTTGCATCTCACAAAACATCAAGTAAAACATTTTTGGTAATTACTATGTTTTGTCTTTACAATTACAACTTATGTTCGCTGGAAAACAATGCATAAAGGAGGATGCTTAAAAGTGTACTATACCTTTTCCAGCTGAAGCCAGTGTATTTCAAGGCTTCTTCAGCTAAACAATCAAGAACATAGCACGCTTGCTCTCCATAACCTGCCTTTAATTTTGAGGGAGGAAAATCCACAGGCCTTCCCTAAAATAAAGAGATATGCTGTTTACTAATGGCTACCCATCAATCGAGTTTCCTCTCAGGGAGGTAACAAGATTTACTACACTAAAACCAAAGTCTCCATTGTGTATGAAGATTTTACCAATGTTAATTCCTATTCTTCCCCTGTGCAGCTCCAGTCAGGCAACAGAAGGGAAAACAGAACAACCCAAGGAACAGATGCAGTGTAGAAATCTTAAAGCACCTGATAAGAGGATATTCACAGGGAGCAGAAGAGTCAGAAGCCGCAAGGGAGCTAGAGGTCAAGCACACAAGTGACATGCTGGCAAGGCAAGAACAGCTACAGAGGAACTCGGGTACTGAGACTTAACCACCAGCTTTTCAACATTGCCTTGTTTGTTCCAGATTTTATTTACAAAATATTTTATTTTTATTTACTGCTGTCCTACACAATAAAGATCTTAGTTTTTTATCAAGTAAATCCTTTAGAGAACAGTGTTCTTAACATCATTCACAGCTGTTCCACAGTATAATCTTCCATAAGATCATACTTCCCGTAAGTTGATACACTCTCCTGACCTTCAGAGGTTATTTTTAATATTGAAAAAAAATCCCAATAGTTCCTGGCAGTTTATGCAACCTTTTATTCCTTAACAAAAAAAATGAAGAAAACATGAACACAATTCTAAACCACCTTCTTCACTATGAATTATACAATTGACTTTAGCAAGAGCAGGATCACAAGCTCTATGTAAACTTTCAAGATAAAATCTTCGTAAATTATACTACTATAAATGAGCAACATATGTGGCACTCTAAGGAGTAAGCCTGATTTAATCCATTTTACAGATTGTGGAATAAAACTAATTGGAATCATATATAATAATGTAAGATTAAGATCATTTTTGTAGTGCCAAAAAGTTAGCAATATACACACAGTATAAACTTCTAATTAACTAATTAACATAGTACAAACTTATAGATAGGAAAAGTCTGTCTAGTCCTTGGGAACATAATCAGACAGCAGACAAAGTGTTTCTGAAGGTGATGCACATGCTTGAAATACACTTGGGGAAAAAAGCATGTTCAACACTTACAAATGATCGCAATTCTGAGAGTACATTTGATATTATTGCATTGGGGTCATCGTATTCTTGTGGCTGTTCGAAGGGATGTCCCGCTTTAGTGATCAGCCAAGCAGCAAGTGTGCAAAACATAAAGAACTGCTCACCAGGATTAGTGGGCAGTGCAAAGTAGTGCCTGTTTAAAAAGGGGAAAAAATGGTAAATATTTTGAGCTCCTGAAGCTCTTACAGCATTATAGGCCAGCACAGGCTAGAAAGCAGTTTCTTTAACTGACTTTCTCAATGAGTGATCCATCTGAACTAAATTCAGAATGTCTAGTTTCACATATAACCACAGCAGACTAAGTTTTCTACATGCAGCTCATCTGTTTCCCGCTTTGAGTAAGCTATTAATCAACATTAGACTTCCAAGGAATCAAATGGAAACTGGGTACTCCTCTCTCCTGCCATCAGGATTATACAGCTTCAGTTAAACACCACCAAATTAACATTTCCACATAAATCCAAGTTATTCCTCTTATTTACCTGAGCAGTCTCAAATCATGATGAGCTCAGTTCTCCTGAGCAGTCTCAAATCATGATGAGCTCAATTCCGTTCCCATTTAATTTTAGGGATGCAGAATCCATCCTATCACTTCATAAAATACCACCACTGACTAATTAAAAGCCTATGCAATTAATTCATTCAAATGTCCCTTGCATAACATAAAATACTTAAAAGCTCAAAAGAATCAGAAGTCAAAGATCCACAGTTGCCAATAACTTGTAGGCCATGAATGAGCTAAGATTTTACTATATCTCTGGCATTTTTCACACAGCAAGTGATTTACAGTGCAAGACAAAATTTAAATTTGAAAAACATCCTCTGAATAGATTAGCAAAAGTGATTGATAACTACTGTCAACAATCATACAGCAAACGGCCTACTTCAAAAACAAAATTAAAATGATCTATTGCTAAAGCTTTATACCTTTACCCATGACACTGGAAGCCAGGGTGGATTTGTCTCATCTTTTACCTACTTTAGAACACATTGAAAAATGCTTTAGAAGCGCATATTGCTCTCCATTAAAGGGAGTTTAGACAAATAGCCCAAAGAAAAGTATCTGTATTTGAGTATATGATTATGCCTCTTTAAAAATAAATAAATACATAAATAAGTTTTGCATCAAGTGACCACATGAAAACTTGAATGGCACTTCCCTGAGGAGGGGAGAGCAAATTTACTGAAGCCTCACTGCCTAAAGAGATGTGTCCTCTTTCTGCACATTGTCCTCATCCATGCCATTATACCACAGTAACCTCACCTCCTGTTCCCTTCTTAACATCCCCAAATCTCTTGCTGACAACAGCAATACATCCAGTTCCTTTTGCTCCAAAGTTCCGCAAACCTCTTCCCCTTCCCATATTCCTCAAGAGTGGCAGGAGGCTGGTGTACCTAAATCAGTGCGTAAGCTCAGATCAGGAGCATGTTTTTGAAGCAACCCTTCCACCCATCCTCACCTACTGTGCTTTGGGTCACTTTAGAGAGCAAGGTACACAAACTGGATCTATTTTGGATCACACTAAATTGAAAGATGTGGTTCAAATGAGAATTCAGTCCATAAAACCAGACCACAGTTAGTCCCCCCAAAATATAAATTGTGTACACACTGGATACTTGGAACCAAACTCTTCCCCTTACAGATACGGCTGCTTGCTATCCTTGCTCCAACTATACTGATGGTCTGACAGCGGGCTAAAAACAGCTTACAGCCACTGAGCTCGTACTTGAGCCTCCCTCCCAACAAGGGAATAATATGGACTATTATTCTGTTGCTCATAGAAAGCTTAACCATGTGATATGCTGCTGTGCAACCTGGTTGAAACTGATGGATGGATTTGAAAGTTAATTGGGCAGGTGGATGTTGGGAGCACATCGGTCCTGTTTCCCAAGTTTCCTGTCTCCCACCGTAATTTAAAAAAAAAATAATTTGTTACATATGAAACAAATATGTATTAGATATGAAAAAACAGACTTAAAACCAATGGGTCCAAGCCCCCTTACACGTACACAGCCCCCACAAATAGTTACCCTGAATACAAGAAATTCATTTAGGGTAGAACTATTTTTTGCAGATATACCGGCATGCAAATATTCAAACTCAAGTTACCTACTGGGGGCAGGGAAGGTCAAGTGACTATTTCCTTATCACATCTCAGCCTACAGAGGGGCTTCCCGTTTTGAAAGCTTCAAAATCATATGGGAAGCTGTGAAGTTGACCGGTTTTACTTGACCCAGGCATCTTGTCATCTGAGCGCCGGCCTTCCTTCCCCAATATCTGACCGCAGGGGGCTAACCGCCCGCTGGGATTTCTTCCTGCTAACACTCTGGGTTTGCACCCAGGGGCAACGTCTGGATACATGTACCGCACCCGCGGTACATGTCTGATGCCTCTCGCTGCAGCCGTGGCAGCCACGAACCCTCACGCGTGGAGCTTCGTACCACGCGGCGCGACCCTCCGGCCCCAGCCGGCCCACCGCCCAC